CTTTGCGAAGAGCTGCAACGTACTCAGCTATGGACTCATTTGCGTTCTGGCCCCGCTTGTAGAAAGCGTGCCTGCAGGCGATTTCCGACGGCTGTGGAGAGAAATGTGATTTCAGCTTGTCTGTCAAGCTTTCAAAGGATACGGTTTTGAGGTCATCTGGTGCCACCAGTGACCGGGCGATGTCAAAAACACTCTTCCCACACGAGCTGAGTAGAGTCGCCCTCTTCTTCTCCTCCGTTGTGATGTCATTCGCCTCCAGATGGAACTCAAACCTTGTGAGGTAAGAGTCCCAGTCTTCAGTAGTCGGGTCGAAGCATTCGAACTTCTGGCTGCTCGCGGCCATCGTTATGCGCACAGGCGGGGCCACCAGAGCGGGTGGAGCCTGTGGCTGGCCGGCCTCGGCGATCTCCTCGTTGTCCGACATGGGGTCTGTTCTAGCGGGGCTGCCTACCCGCACTAGTATCCCACCTTCGTCGCCAGTTGTTAAGTCGTGTGCTTAACAAAGAAGTCGGAGAGTGATTCAGCAAGAATTGCGGTTTATTCTTCAGCTCTGTTACTTCTCCGAACTCGGTACAACGATCAGTCAGCCAGAACCATCATTCGAACCAACGACATGCACTGGCTGCTCTATATTTAAACACTCCCGGCTAATGTAGCCACACCCACTGTACAATCAGGCAACCTATGAGGTTGAAGTAATAACGACCAATCACAAGCGGTCCCGCTTTACTGCGTGATTGGTTGACACTCTCTGGGCTAGGGCACCTATTGGTTACATTAGGATCCTAGCCCAGGATGAAGCTCAGCATGGCATCTCAATCAGGCAATTCACATATCAGTATTTACATTCACATAGCAGTTATATACATCTCAATACATAACAATCACAACTTTGGATAACTGCAGAAATCACAAGAAACCACAAGATTCGCACTGAAGCCTGGAGCATCCATGGCCTTTAATAAACAGAGTAGAACAGCACCACAACCGTTATGGCTGAAATGAGTTTCCAACCAGGTACAAAGCGATATAGAGCTTTCAACGTTTAAATTAAAAAACAAAACAAAACACCAGGTGGTGGGAGGGAGAGTGAACGTCTCTTCCGTACGGCGGCCGCCAAAGGCGGTTTTCAATTGTCAGACAGGGTGTCGCTCTAGCCTTTTCTCCTGGGTTGAAATGACATGGCGCTTGAAGTCTATGGTTTAGCGTCCATAGTGACATCATCAGCGCGTGCCTGGTGCGGAGGAGGCCGGAGCCGCGAAGGCCTGAGGAGCCGGGAATCTCTCCCCTCCCGGGGAGGGTGCGGCGGTGAGCTTCGGGCGAGGGGTTGCCATAGCCATGGGTGCTGAGCTGCTAGGGGGAGGATAGACCTGCTGAGCTACCGTCCCGTGTCCCACTACCTACGTGCGCCTGAATCGTCGGCCCAGGATATGAGCTGGATGGATGAGGGTCTTAAGAAGGGAGACGGGATCAGTCCTCCCTGCTTCCCAGTTATAGATCCCATTTGATAAATTAAAGGCCCGTGTTGCAAAGATACTTCGGCCACCGGATAATTCTGCTGCCCCGGCACAGGTGCTTTGCACTTGCCAGTGGGGTTCCTCTTTGCTGCCTGCCGTGTATGCGCGTGTTAGTACTAAACCTCAGGAATTTTAGCTGTAGGAAGAATTCCCCTTAAACTGCCCCAGTGGGATTCAGAGGCTGACCTTTTGAAGCGTACCCTAGACAGGAGGGGATATGCCTTGTTCTGTGCCATTCCTGCATCTTCAGATGTGGTGGGAGAGCTGTGGGGTACCTCCTCTAAATGCCAGCACAGTGGGCAGTAGAAGTGCCTGAGAGGGCAGGTGTCATATTATACTGCTGTGGAAGATGCCGGTAGCAATCCTTTTACAGTCACCTTCAGCCTGGGGAGCCAGGGCAGAGGGAGATGACATCCCATGCCATCCCTGCTCCACAGACAGCAGCAGAGGTATGGCATGCCTTGTCCCATAATGTATCAGTGGGATCTAGGACAGGCTTCATAAGCAGTATGCCTTTGCACCAACCTTGGACCCAGGCAACAGCAGCACAGCACTGCCCTTAGCAGTTGTGGTACAAGGGATTATATCTCATCCTGTGCCAGCCCACTGACAGTTCCCAACTAAAAGGGGTGGGTGGGATCTTGGTCCCATACACCAAAAATTCTGTCATCTAATCACAAGTCGCATTTCCGTTTCTAGATTTCATGCAGAATTCATAGATCCACTGACCCGAGGCTCCTTCGTAGTACAAAATAATAGATTTCCGGCATAGATTCGCATGACACACATGGAGATATCTGAAAGCCATCGTTGTATCACCAGACAGATCTGTGCTAGACTGCTTTGCAATAGTCATGCATCCAGTACACTGAAACACAGCCCTTCCTGGAGTCTGCCAACAATACCTTCACATATGAGAGATCCCCAGGATCCCTTTGGTTGAACTTCACAGCTTTCCTGTTTTCTGCCAAGTTCCAGTTTTTAGTGGAGGGATGGGCCTCTCATGTACACTATTTTTGAGACGTGGTTGCTAAGAGGAGCTGCAGCTAAACATTGAATGGAATGTGTGTGTCTGTTGCAGTGCTGAGAAACAGAGAGGACTTGGAAGTCCTGTTCAAAATTATAAATTGTTCCTCTTGTACTTCCCCTGGTAAATAGCTGGCAGGAATCCAGCTTTTTTAACCAGGCTCCATGCACACAGTCTTGGTGGTTTGGAAGAAACCCCATCAAACTCACGAGGACTAATTTCTGATTAAACATCTTTAGGATCTGCCTGTTAGCAATTGCCATAGTAATGTTTTGATGCATTAAAATCACCATTTATAATAGTCTTCACATTTACAAGGGTTCATGACTTTAGTTCTAGAAGGGCCCATTATTGTCCCCATCCCGGGAAAAGGTGAATAATTTTGTTTAGGTGTCCACTGGCTTATGTGTAATGTATTTTCTTGTTTTGTGTATGTCATCATCATAACAAAAAGGAGATGTTTTGATGTGCAATATTAGATGAGGTTACTGAGCTGTAAATATGAAGGGAGAAATGCATTCTTCACTATTGAAATTTGTTGAATTTCACCCTTGTTGTAAGCTGTCTTGGTAGCAAACTATTGTCTTTTAGTCTCAGCCCCCATCTACAGTGCAGACTAATAATAATGACTTACATTGCAGGGATGTTGTAGCAATTACTGAGGTAATGTACAGAAAGCACTTTGAAATAAATTTCATAGCATAGTTCCTCCGTTATGGGATCTAGACCTGTCCAGTGAGATGAAACCCATGTTCTTCTCTCCCCTAACAAAATAATAGAACAAACCTTTCCAGCCTCCTGTGCTACCCAAAAAGTTGATCTGAAGAGTCAGTGTAGGCTACAGCACAGGGCCCTGTGGCTCCAATGGGAAAAGATCCAAAAATTGCAAAGCCTTCATTGTTTCACTGGAAGTATCTTCTATTTGCAGAGGGCATCTTTAAATCCAGCCCACTATTATAAATCTTTTAGATAAATTGAAATGATTGATGATGGTAGGAAAGTGCCACTGTATTTGACTGGCCATGTTGTCAGAGTGTGAAGGTTCGTTGCATTGTACTTTATTAAAATATTAATAATATACCACCTTTCCCCCACAGAAGTGTGCCCAAGGTGGTTTTCACACAAGCCCCACATTTATCAAGCTTAGTCTTCCCTCTTTGTTCCTGTGTGTTGTGTTATACAGACTGATGTTCTACGTTTAAACTGGTAGACATCTGGAGGTAGGTTAATGATACAGTAGTGTGTTCTGGGGTTTTAGTCTGTTAAAAATATACAGCCTTTTTGTATACCACCTCTGTACAATCAACCCTATTAGAACTTTAATGCAGCTGAATAGAACAAGCTTAACCTGGCTAAGTCTGGTAGGAAACATGGGAGAACAGGTCAGAGAACT